ACACACACACACACACATATACGTATACGTATATGTATATATATATGTGTGTGTGTGTGTGTGTGTATGGCATGTGTGTGTGTGTTAGATTTATTTATTTATGTATACAGTGTTCTGCCTGCATATATACCTGTGTGACAGAAGAGGGCACAAAATCTCATTATGGATGGTTATGAGCCACCATGTAGTTGCTGAGAATTGAATTCAGGACCTCTGGAAGAGCAGCCAGTGCTCTTAACCACTGAGCCATCTCTCCAGCCCCTCTTTGTACTGTTTTTTTTGTTTGTTTGTTTGTTTGTTTTTTTTTGCAATAAGCTGCCAAGCAGTTGAACAAGCTAGCTGTATTTCCCACTGATGGAAGAAGTTACAATATAGAATGAGATAGTTAGGCTTGGTGGTGCACATCTTTAATCCTAGCACTCTGGGGCCTGGAGTAGGAAAATGGATTAAGAATTTGAGGTCAGCTAGGCAGTGGTGGCGCACGCCTTTAATCCCAGCACTTGGGAGGCAGAGGCAGGTGGATTTCTGAGTTTGAGGCCAGCCTGGTCTACAGAGTGAGTTCCAGGACAGCCAGGGCTATACAGAGAAACCCTGTCTTGAAAAACCAAAAAAAAAAAAAAAAAAAAAAAAAAGAATTTGAGGTCAATATTAATATGAGCTCCTGGTTTGGATGCTTTATTTAGAAAAATCTACGGTGAATTTAGTATTACCAGTAATAGGTATCAAATGGATATCATGTTTCTTCTAACATGATTCATTGCCACTGTAAATTTTATAACTAACATGATATTATGTGTATTTGGCATGACACTCGAGATGGCTCCTTACCCTTAAACTCTGAACCTCCTTCCAATAATTTGAATAGGATAACGAGCATCAATTTGTTGTTCCAAATGCCTATCTAAATCCTCTTGTATATCAACACATTAGTAACATTTTTTGCTAAATGATTAACAAAAGTAGCTGCCTTAACTTCTTGTGTCAAAGCAATTGCAGAAGCAGTGGTGCTAGCAATTAATTTAATTAAGCAATAATCAAGCCCACTATTCTCTTGCTTCTGCTTAAAGCCTGACTCATCTCTTCCAGTACTTGCAAGCTATTTTTAGAATACCAAGGTTCTGTGATACTCAGGACACTAAAACAAAAGCTCGTTGATAGACCTCCGTAACTGACATGCCGAATTTCAAAACACAAACACAATTAGAAGGTGTACAATCAATGCAACTTACATTAAATACTGTAGAAGAAACAAAAGTAATTTTAACTTGACAATTAAAAGAGCCTTAACACATGTGCTAACACCTGTTTGAAATCCAGATCCTGCCCCAACTTTATCTCTTGCTAATTTAACATCATAGAGAACTGCAGCTAATTTCCATATATGTCTCTGAAAATGTCCAGAACCAGACTTCCAAATGAAGGCTGTTATTTCCAATATTGAATTGATTTCTAGGCCAGTCCATGATTGAGTCTGAATAACTGGTCACATTTAATAACAACAGTAGAGTCATTATAACTTCTCTTTTTGATTCTCTGTTCCACAAGGTCTAAAAACTTGAGGCAAGGCAGCTTGTCCCATCAGGGGTATAGGTAAGCAATGGTGGGTCGGGAACTTCTGTCCAATACAGCTTCTCAGTCACCATTGTCAGGGAACTCAGCAAGCTCACAGGTCAGCATCATTCTTTGTCCAGGCATCAGCATGTCTCACCCATTGCTCTGGCGGCCACCATGCTCCTTCATCATCCTGTAGAAAAAACACAAACACGCCCTCTTCCCCACATTTAATACCTCATCTGGATCATGCTTTATGCCAGTAAGTGGATCCTTCCCTTTCACCTATGCATATAAGTATGCCTAGTTGTAGAGTGCTGTAGACACTCAGCAGAAAGTTCCTTGGCATTCAAATTTTTTAAAAAAAATTTAAAATAAAAGATAAAAAGAACATGATTTAAATAAATTTGTAGTGTACAGGAATATATCTCCCCCTTTTTTATTTTATGAAGATATTGTTTTAAAGTTCCAAGGGCCCATCCCACAGTCTCTTGTCCTTGACAATTATAAGGAATCCCTGTCACTTGAGGACACAGCATCATTTTAATAAATCATGAAAAGATATAAAAACAAACCCAAACTAAAGGAATCCCCAGAGTAACTTAGTTATAACCTTTAAAAATATCAAGAGTCATAATCCAGACAGTATATGCCTGTAATCCTAGAACCCTAAAGATTTAGGGAAAAGGAATATAAATTCAAACCAGCCTAAACCAAGTGTTTGTTACAGGATATTTGAACCTGTTTCTAGTTAGGGTGTGGCTCGACCCTTAGCACATACCTTTAATCTGGCTGGAAGTCACACATGCCTTTAGTACTCCTTTAATCCCAAACAATGAAAGTAAAGTTAGTTTATAAAAGGAAGCACCCATGTTTGAATATGATGTCTAATAAACTTGCAGAAAAAGGTGACAACATCAGAGAAAGATTTGACAGAATAGGATATGCCCAACTCTCAAAAGAAAAGAGAGGAAAGGAAAGCTACTTAAGGGAGAGACAGACAGTACAGGAGGAAGAGAGTACAGCACAGGAATACAGTAGAGTTCATGGAGAGCAGTGCAGTAGAGTTGAGAGGGAGAGTAGAGCAGCACAGAGGGAGAAGGAGGCAGTGTTACTGGGAGAGTTTTACAGAGACAGATTGAAGAGAGAACAAGCTAGACATAGGTAAAGACAAAATAAGCAAGAGCATGAGAATGAGCCAGAAGACTAGAAAGATTGCTA